GATGCCCCTCCCTCATCACAGTCATGGTGGACAGATGCCCCTCCCTCATCACAGTCATGGTGGACGGATGCCCCTCCCTGACTGTGATTATGGCTGATGGATGCGTCTCCCTGATTGTGGTCATGGTTAGGATGTGTCTGAGTACAGAATGACCGCTCAGGTCTTATAAACTCTGCTTTAAATGTTTTTGCCCGTCTTAAATTAAGACTGGTGTGTGAGGTTGGGAGATCAGGGTGATCATGTGAATGGAGGGCTTCCTGCTGCCGCTGACCTGTTCATCTATGGCCTCGAACTGGACGACGTCAGCAACAGCTTGAGCACGTGTGCGATGTGCACGCTGACCGGCCCGACCCTCAGGGCCCCTGTTTAATCGTGTCTGAATCCCTCTGTGTGCTCTGCGTCTCTGATTCACATCTAAACTCTGATTTTATCTTCCTTTTCTCACTCTCTGAGTTTAAATCTGATTTTTATTTAACCAGGTTTCAAAGATGAACATTTCCACTTTTGTGTTTTAAATTTCTGCTGTTAAATCAGATGTGACACAGTGATTAGAGCAGACGTCCAGTAGGATGAACGTCATTTCCCAGTAAACAGCTCCACCTGCTGGTCACAGAGACACAATGCAGCTAAGCGAGCTGCTCAGTTGCTTTATGTGAGGAAAAACATCTGCTGAGTTTTTCAGACAAAGCTGTTTGCTTGCTGTCGCAGGTACATACACAGTTAACCTGAATATTAAAAACAGACAGTGTAATGTTCCCATAATTCAGTTTAATTAGTTCTGTCACAGCCAGTGAAATGATCAGGAATAAACAGCATCTCAACATGACAAATATTGTTGATATTTTCATTGTTTTGTTCATCCTACCTTTCAGAACACGGTGTGGGTAATTATTCTTTTATTGTTTTATTGAAATATCAGTTTTTCTGTTTTTTCACAGGAAAGTTTTCTAAAATTTATTTAATGTGAATTTTATCAAAGTAAACAGATGTAATATTTGTGCTTAAACAGGTTCCAGACAATGATTTTTATTCATATTTATTGTAAAACTTTTATATCTGAATCATGTGGATTTACTCCTAAACACTTTCTGCTCAAAAGTTTGATTTTTCATCATTTTTATCCCAGTTAGTTTTCACCAGCAGCCCACTGAGTTTTGTTTTAGCCTCAAAAGAAAAGCTTCCAGGATCTAGAAGATTTTTGTTTGACATCATGTGTCTTTGTGTGTGAATGTCGGTCGGGTGGATGGAAGATTAAAAAAACTTTTAAATGCACTGCCGAAAACTTCATCCAACAGTTTTCCAGGATTTGCAAAATCTGAAACATTCCTGCATCACTGCCTTCAGTGGATCTGCAGAGGCAGGATGCTTAAACGTGAAGGACAGAACTCAGGAAATCAGGGCCTCTGTGCTGCTCTCACCTTTGACCTCAGCAATAAACTAAAGAGGCAGAGATGTCGTCATCCTGCAACTGCAGAGGCTTTTATTCTAAAAAGTAGAAATCAGTCAGGATGTGGCATGGTGAAACCTCCAGGATCCAGAAGACCAGCTCCTGGTCCCACAGGACCTCCATGAGACCATGAGATCTCCCCCTGTAGGCCTGCGGTGCCCTCACACGCCATCTCTTCTTCATGTGTTGTTTAAGAGCGAGTCAAAGTGGAGACAAACTGGACAGCTGCTCTTCGGCCTCCGGGCTCTTGCTCTGCGGCGACTCCTCTTCCTCCCGGCCCCGCTCTACCTCTCAGAGCTGATTTTGTACCGGAGGACAAAATAAGCAATGAGTCTCAGAGAGAAAAAGAAGATGGTGAGGACAATGAAGTCCAGGTAGAGTTTGGCGTCCAGCATGTCCAGCTCCTTGAGGATTGCCTCAGACTTCTGGAAGTGACACGCCTCACCTTCATCGCAGTGAAGATCATCACGACCCAGGCTGTAGATGGACAGGATGACGCCTTCAAACCCGTACCTGAAACACACAAACACGTTCAGAGAGTGCAGCAGCGCCCCCTGCTGTGTGGATACAGCCGCAGGCCCGCCAGCTAACAGCGCCCCCACCTGACGTAAGAGATGTAGGACATCCACTGCAGGTACCAGGGGATGGTATCGAAGCTGACGAAGAACCCGGAGAACAGCAGAACCGGGATCGCCGTGACCGGACCCACAAACGTGGCCACCTACAGGAAGCAAACACACACGAGTGATGTCAGCACAGGAGCACACCTGTGAGCGGACAAGAGGTGATGGAGGAAACAACGAGCGGACCTGCAGAGAGGTGGAGGCGGCTCCGATAAGCAGACCCAGACTCTGAGCCACCAGAGATGTCAGAATCCCCAGAGACAGGAAGAGGAAGAACCGGCCAGCGTCCGGAGGCTGAGCCGTCATCCAGTACACGATACTGCAGTACACCACCGGGAACACTACCTGTACAACAGCGACACTGCAGGTCAGCGGGTTGATACTGCCAGGTCTCAGTGTGCTCTTAAATCTAGGGCTGCGTATTGCCACTGATTTCTACAACGATTCAATTCTGATTCACAAGGTTGGATTTTGACTCAGAAATATTATAATTCTGATCAATTATGTTGGATATGTACAGCATGTCCGTGTGCGTGCTGTCGGGCTTACATCCTTTTGCAGAATCTGTTCAAGCTGTTTTCAATGTTTGGTTATTGTTGAAATGGTTTTGTGAGGCTGTAGCTGAGATTCTGACATTTCTGGCAAAATACATCAAATTCAGGATTTCGTGAGTCGATATGGGATTATTAAAATTAAAAACCATTTTTTAAACCCACCCCTACTTAAATCTAATACTTTCATTATTAGGGGTGTGGCCTCTTAGACTGACAAGTGGATAGTGATACAGACAGCTGTAGGTGTTCGCTGTCTGCTAGCCTGAGGTGAGGCATCCCTGAACTGGACCGTTGCTGGTTTTTTTAGAACATTTCTAATGACATTATCAATATCGTTAGCAGTTACCAGAAATATGGCCGGGGTGAAGTTACTGTATTAACTGACTATCCATCAAGGGTGAGCTCCCAAAGTTTCTAACAAAATGATAAACTGTGCCGTCAGAAAAATGACAATAAAACAAGATCTTTCATCATCTTTCATCTTCAAATGTGTCATTAAAGAAAGAGATTCAGGAGCTGGAACCAGGAGCTGCCACTCTAAGTGCAGCTTAGAGATCGATAAAGCTGTGTCTTTGTTACCTGGAAGGGGACATCAGCCATGGTTTTGGCCAGGTAGTACGCTTTCAGGCTGTACCAGTAGTTGAGGTGTTCTCTCAGAAAGACGCCCATCTCCAGAGGAACTGAAGCACAAAAACATGGCAGCAGGTTTTCAAAGGTTGCGACGAATAAAACTCGTCCTTATTACAGAGACTTAGTCTGATGTTCTCTGACAGCAGCTCCCAGAGCGACTGTTAGCTCATAAAATCCCAGAAAAGCTCAAATTTAAAGACACGATTTTACCGTCATTAATCCTGGCAATTGTGGGTGTCAGTTTAAGGATTTTCCCACTGCAGCCTGGATGGGTTTGGCCCTGAGAACATCAATAAAGCTTTTATTGTGTAGAGACAGAGAGTTCCTGAGTCAGAGCCTTTGGTGCTGTTCAGGTAAAAGTGACGCACCTGTTGCTGAGCTCACCTCTGAACACTCAGCTCTATGCTTGAACCTCTGTGATGTCAGAGAGGCTAACACTTCAGAACCTCTGTTTACAAGAGGAAGCCAATCAGAACAAAGTTGTCTTTAAGGGGGAGGGGCTAAAACAGGATGTATTGCAGGTAGGATAAATGGAGGTCTGTTGTTCTGTCCACCTTTGTAACAGCAGACCTCGTGTTACACAAGCCGATGAAGGACAGAGAACAGCTGCTCTCCAGCTCGACTCTGATGTATTTGTTACGCCGATGACACCCTGATCTTACTCAAACGTCACCTGTGTGCAGGTAAAGTGACACAGCAGCTTGAGGCGGACTCACAGGTGAGCACCGTGGGCATCAGAGCGGCGAACATGAGGAACAGCATGGAGAAGAAGAGGAACCCCGAGTTACTCAGGACCTTCTTGGCTTCGTTCCCGATACCCAGATACAACAGACCAATAAGAACGCCGATCCCAATGTGAGACGAGATCCTCAGGTGAGTCAGCACCTGCCAATGACAATGCCTTACTTCAAACTGCAATACTGCACAGTAATATTACCACACTGACAGTGTTTTATTTCACAAATCTGTGCTGGAAACCGTCACCATGTGTTTAAGTTACAGTGAAAACAATGTTTTTGTGATTGAAAAGTAATCAGTAAAATGATGTCATTATATATGACCAGACTCAGACCAGAGTTTTAGGAAATTAGGAAGAACATTGGCAAGAAATTATCTGTAAACCCGTCTAAGGAGCTTAGAAAGAAAAGCATCTGGACTTCTTTAAGTTTCTTGAAGACATTTCATCTGAGAAGCTTCTTAAATTCTATGAGCAGCTGGTGAAGAGTCACACATTTTTACGCCCAGTATCAGGATTATCAGAGAAATACATCCCAGTGTCCTTCAGACCCAGACAGAAACTAAACAATATAGTGTAGCTGTGAAGTGCAGGAGGAGTGCTCAGACTTCTAATAATAATAGATTGCATTTATATAGCGCTTTACAATTCCATTGTTCATTCACTCTCACATCCACACACTGGTGGAGACAGCTACAGGTGTAGCCACAGCTGCCCTGGGGCAGGCTGACAGAAGCCAGGCTGCCATATCGCGCCATCGGCCCCTCTGGCCAACACCAGTAGGTGGTAGGTGAAGTGTCTTGCCCAAGGACACAACGGCCGAGACTGTCCGAGGCGGGGCTCGAACCGGCAACTTTCCGGTTACAAGACGAACACCCACTCTTGAGCCACGATCGCCCCACTGGAGACACCAAACAGCCACCTCGACAGGACAACACTCAGTTGTTCATCTGCATCTAAAGGTCAAAGGTCACTCTTTGAGAGTAATCCAATGATGTTCAGGAACAAATGAGGAAACAAAGTAGTTGAGATCTCTCAGTCTGGAAAAAGCCATTTCTAAAGCTGTAGGAATCCAGTGAACCAAAGTAGAAGCCTTTATCCACAAATGAAGGTCAGTGCTCACGACTCAGGAACTTCCAAGACAAAAACCCCGGCTGAGCAAAAGGAACATAAAGGCTTGTCTCAGTTTTGCAAGAAAACATTTGATGATCCTCAAGACGTTTGAAAAATATTCTGTGGAATGATGAGACAAGTTGGAAGGTGTGTGTCCTGTTACATCAAAGTAACACAGCATTCACGCAGCTCAACGTGGCAAAGACCAAGGAGCTGATCGTGGACTTCAGGAAGACCAGGAAACACTTGACCCCTGTTTCAATCCAGGGGGTCAGTGTTGACATTGTGGAGGACTATAAATACCTTGGAGTTCACATTGACAATAAACTGGACTGGGCTAAAAACACCACAGCACTTT